TATATATTTAAAAAAGTAAAAGCTACATAATGCACTTTCTCCCTAGATGAGTAGTACACGAACACTGAACACATGCCTTTAATATTTCAGAACTATAAAAGTCACATGCATTGCAGAAACTTAGACAAGACGATAAGAGATCCGCAAGTCCCGCCCCAGAGGTGACCAGCATGAGTGGTTTGTGGGCATCTCAGGCTCCGCCTCTCTTTCTGTCCGTCTGTCCGTCTCTGTTACACGCAGACTCCTTTACACATGTGTCTGCCCATTGCAATCCCACGTGCATGGGCTAATGGGTGGGGTCCTGGATGAGGCAGGTTCCACGTGTCTCACCTAAGAGGACCCTGAGGTCTGTCTGTGGGCACGTGGAGATCGGCACCCACGGCAGCAGCCGCTCAGCGTGCCGCGTCCGTGTGGACCAGGATCGACGGGTCCAACCCCTCTCCATGGACGTGGTTTCCAGTTTCTGGCAATTTCACCAGCGCTCTGATGGGTAGTCTCGAAAACACATCTTTTTTGAAAAAATATATTTTTATTGATTTCAGAGGGAGAGGGAGAGAGAGAGAAACATCAATGATGAGAGAGAATCATTGATTGGTTGCCTCCTGCACACCTCACACTGGGGATCGAGCCCACAACCTGAGCATGTGCCTTGACCTGGAATCGAACCATGACCTCCTGGTTCATAGGTCGACGCTAAAAAATACATCTTTGAAAAATTGTGCAAGAACGCCTGTGGGGTGGCCTCCTCAGACGGGCGCTGCGGGAGGTGCCGCCTGCGGGACCTCAGGGCCTGTGCACTGTCCTCCAGAGGGTCCCCGCCCACTTCCCTCCGCACCTGCTGGGGCCTTGGCTTCCTTTCATAGGAAGTGCCCATTTGCCCCTTGGCCCTTTTGAAAACACTGGCTTTCCCAAGTTTTCTGCACACGGGAGGCACGGGGGTGGGGGGCGGGGGGGACACCTTTCCCTGGGAGTGACTTCATCTGGGACCCTGTTTGTCAAGAGGGACCGGGACCACCTGCCTCACCTGAGCAGAAGGGCCCGAGGGGCACCCAGTGGGAGCGATGGCCAGGCCACTCCAGGCCCCGTGCCAGGGGATGGGGCCTGTCTCCTGCATGCCTGTGCACAGGGCGGAGATGCCCCAAGGCCTGTATTTGGGGGTTGGGGCAGTGCCAGGCCTCCACAGGACAGAAAAGGGAAGCGCAGTCGGCCCCCAGCCCTCCCCGCGCCCCTGGTGCACCCCTCAGTTGCGGATTTGCTGATGGTTCTTGGGCACAGCCATGAACCTCAGCTTCCTTATGACGGCCGGCCGGCCCAGCAGCTGCTCGTCCCACAGGTACTCCGGGGACAGCACCTTGGTGGGCTTGTGGTCCAGCAGGTACCGGTTCAGGTGGCTCTCGTCGTGCCAAACGGCCTCGATGCCATTGGCGCGGTCGGCCATCATGGCCTGGTGACAGGCCTTGGTGAGCCGCTGAACCTCGGCCACTGATCCCCCGAAGAGCGCCCCCATGTAGTAGAAGTCACCCTGGTCCCGGGGGATGTAGGCCTGGGACTGCGGCCGGCGCTCGTAGCTGAAGGCCTGGCGGGCTGCCCTGTAGAAGCCGGGGTGCAGGGTGCCAAAGAGCGGGGACAGGATCTCCACGCCCACGTGGTCGCTGAAGCGCATGTCCACGTCCACGCACATCAGAAAGTCCACCTCCCTTTGGAAGCGCCGCTCACAGAAGTCGCTGATCATCTGCATGCGGCTCATGGAAATGTCCTGCCAGCGCGCAGCGCCCGGGACCTCGAGCACCACCAGGCGGCGGCCCTCCCCCAGCGCCACGCTGGGCACGTCAGCCGGCCGGTCGGTGAAGACGTAGTAGTGGACCCTGTGCCCCACCATGAAGTGCTGCTCGGCTGTCTCCAGGAAGAGCTTCAGGAAGACCACGTACCTGCGGGGGCGGGGAGGGGGGGAGGCGGGAGGTCACGGGGGCCAGGCCAGGCCCCACCAGGGCCATGCAGCGCGTGCGCCTTCTTCAAGGGGACCCACTCCCCTGGCCGCGCCTGAGCCGGAAGCCTTGGCCTCCCTAATCCTCTGCTCCCGGAGATGGGGGCCCGGCAGCACCCCATCATATGGAGGAGGGCTGAGGCTCCGGGGGCGGAGCAGGGGCAGCCCCTCGGTGAGTAGAGCTGGATCTGGGTCCCACCTGAGCTGTGCTCCCCTTACCCCCCCAAGTCCCCATCTCCTGGCTGACCCCATCCCACCGGGCTGACCCCATCCCGTTATGCCCTGGACACAGGACAGACCCTCCCTGACCTGCTGCTCCCACCTCCGCTCTCTGCCCTCGGTCCTGCCACCCACTCACTTCTTGATGGCAAACACGGTGAGCCCGACCGTGACGTTCTGGAGCCGGAACTGCTCGTTCAGGATGTCAATGTTGAAGGTCCCCTCCCAGACGATGGGCGCCAGCCAGGGGGTCAGGACGAGGACGTCTTTCCTCCTGCGCCGAGAGCCCACAGCCACGTGTGAGCGGGCAGGAGGGGGACACACTCCGCCTGTGCTCCCTGCCGCACCGGGCGCCCCACTCGACCCCATGTTCTCGGCGCCCCAGGCGGACCATCCTTCCAGAGGACGTGCCCTCGGCAAGCAACCCGCCTGATGCCAGTCCAGATGCAAACGTGGGAGATCCCCCCTGACCAGCTCTGCACCCTGAGGACCCGGGGCAGCGGGACCTGCCGGCGAAGGGGACCCCCTGCAGGAGGCCCCACCCTCCAACTGTCTTGGTGAACAGAGGACAGAGAACAGGATGCGGAGCGCAGGGGGAAGGACAGAGACTGTGGGCTCCAGGCTCAGAGCCCAGGCCGCCAGAGCACGGAGTGCGGCGGAGCCAGGCCCGGGAGCGAGGGCAGTGGCCCGCCCTTTAGGACATAGGGAGAGTGTCGGTGAGCTTCAAGAAAAGTACTCACGAAGGCGTCAGCACCGTGGGCTGCGGATAAAGCATCCTGAAAAACAGCACAGCGTGGCCTGAGTGTCGGGGAGTCCCGTGGAAGTCGCCGGCAGGGCAGGGTGGCTGCTGAGAGTGCCAGGCTGTGCCTTCTCCCCGGACCCGGAGCCCAGGCTCCTCCGCAGGCACCTCGGGGAGGCTGGGCCTCTGCGTGTCGCTTCCCCGCGTGTGCACTGGGCCCTGGATCTAAAGGCCTCGGGCCTTTGCCTCCCTCTGACCCGAAGTGGCGGGATCCCAGGGTCCCGCCTCGGTTCACGGTGGGCGGGAGGGCCGGGAAGTGCCCTCTGGGTGGGTGGGTGCCCCAGGAAGGAGCTGGCCCAGAGGAACGGCCGTCAGACATGCAAGGGGCTCTGCTGGGCTCTGTCTGGGCGACAGGAACACCCCTGACGTGGCCGTCACGGGACCAGCTCCAACAGCGGCTGCGGCTCCGTCAGGGGCCACAGCCTGGGCCGTGTGTGCGCAGGGCCAGCCTGTTGGTCACCCCTTCAAAGCCACACGCCATCAACTGGTCAAGGCAGGCAGCAGCCCCATGTGTGTCTCCCCGGGGCAGGGGGGGTGGGGACAGTCTGACCGGGCCCTGGGAAGGAAGCAGCCATTTCCATCTGTCCCCCCCGCCCACCTCTCTCCCC